GTGGACCGGCCCAATTCCAATTTTACCCAACCCCTTAACCCATTTGTTTAACCCGCCCGAATTTTCTTTCAATCCAGGCCGTTGATCAAAAAAGGCCGTTGATCATTTTGATCAACGGCCAGGATCACCCCTTTCCATTTTAATTCACCAACCCCACCCTAATCCCCCCATTTCGTTTAGTTCGCCGCCCTTGAATACTCTCCACTCCAAAAATTCTCTCGAAGGAACCCTAACCGTCTCCGACCCTTTTCCACCGTACTTTCACCGGAATCCATGGCTTCTCAGGCCATGGATGGTCTGCACTCACCCCCCTCCACCATTAGACCATGGGTGTTCGAAGCTTTGAGGTCTGAACTCGATGATTCTCTTTCAGACCTTCTTAGATCTATGGTTCTATGGCTTCTCCGGCCATGCTCAGGCGTATTGCATTAGGAGCCTATTTCCCACCTCATCCGACTCCAGATCAGAGTTTCTTCCAAGCCTTTCTCATTTCTAGGGTTTCTCCGAAATCCTAAGCTATTCGAGGTTTTTCTTTATTTGTTTTCTTTGATCTGTGATATATTTGTGTTCTACTGGATTTTTTAAGTGTTTTCCCCAATCTTTTCTTTCAAAATTATTTCTCTTCGATGTAGGGTTTCTGAAAGGTTTTCAAAACATCTTTCTGATTCTTTTCTTTATGTGTGTTTGTCTATATTATGCTCGTGTGTTTTCCTTCTCTACCACGCATGTGTTGTTCTTCTGTTTTCTTCCTACTATACACGATTCTTCTATATCTTTGTATTCTACTGTGCCTTTAGACTAGGCTCATATGTTAATCTTTGTTATATTCTTCTATCTGTTCTTTGCTATATTTTCAGTATTTTTCTACTGTACGTGTTTCCTACTAAGTTCTTAAATTTTGTTTGCTTTACCTGACTTTGTTTGAGTTCTAAGCACGCTTCCTTTATTGTTTCTTAAGTTTACATCACTTCTTCTCTCTGCTGAACTTGCTTAAATTTCGAGCTTTTCTCAAACATGTTCTTTATGCTTTCAAACCTGTATCATGTTTGTTGGTCTCTTATGAGTCTCTGAAAGAGACCTCTAAGTCTGTTTCAATGGCTTGCCTTCTCATCTCTGTGCCTGATTCGAGTGAAAACCCTAGAATTTAGGGGTTTCTTTGGCAAGTTCGATTTTGTGTTTGGACTGGGATTCTACTTTGAAACCCTGAACTCTCAGACTCATTCTGAGTCTATAAATTGGACCTGAACCCTTTTCATGACTGTTTCTATGACAGTCTTTTCTAATCAGCATGACAACTCCTTCTTATTTGATATTTGTGTGCCTTATATATGAGAAATTCTTCTTTCAAAAAGGTTTTGCCAATTTGATTGATTCCAAATTCCTTTTAGTAAGGTTTGATTGATTGTTATTGATTTTCCTTAAGTCAGACCCTTTCCTCTCTTTTCCTGACTTGGTTCATTCAAACAAAGCCTGCGATTTTGATTTTACTGACTGTTTAATTGGTTCCCATTCCTTATTTTCACAAACCGTGTACCACTGGACTTTTTTTCCTTAAATAAAATCCTATGTATTTACCCTCTTTGTGTTTCTTTGGAAAAGATTTCAGTCAAATTCTTTCCTTAACTATCTTCTACCCGTTTGAAATCAGAATCTCTTAACTAAAGGGAGACTTTATGTGATTGGTTGTAAAACTATTTTCTTACTTGCCTTCTGCACTATAAAAGGGGACTACCCTTCTGCACTTTCAAGGACACACGATTGAATACTCTTTAAGACAACTTCGAATTCAATACTTTTACACACCTTCAGCTTACACTACTCACCTCACACTCTCAATTTCAATACTTTCACATTCTCATCTGAGTTTCTTCTGGCTGTTTGCTTGCAATTTGGGCTTTACTACTACTTTTCCTCTGCTTACTTCTGAAACCGGTATGTCCTAATTTAGTTTCAGCCATCACACCAATGTGTTTATTTACAACTTCTGCAATCCTGTTTACTTTATTGTCCATGCTCATTGATTAATCTGTATATTATTCTCTTTGCACCTGTTTTCTGCTGTGAATCCCTATACCCCTATTCCCTCTATGTGTTTGAGTTGAGGTTCAGGCATGGCAGTGTCCAAATTGCTGCTCATGTTTGGACCCGATCCTTAATGGATCCTAACTCCCAAACAAATGTGGCTAACAGGCTGGTCAGGGGTGTGCCAGCACTCCTAATTGCTGGGTATGACCATCAGCCTGCCATGGCCTTCCCAGAATCCCCACTATTGTACTTACACTCATTCCTAGTTTCTAAGTTCTGCCCCCCTCCTATGAGCCTTGCTTTGGGACCTTGAGTTCCCTCTGAACTTGGACATCTGAGGGCTGGCCCTTCCACACTGCACTTTAATTCAATTCTACAATTTATTTGGGTGTAAGCACTGCCCGGAGTTCATGAAGCTCCTGAGAACTCTGACACACCCAAAAATGAGAAAGGCTTTGGAAATCAGATCTTCGGAGTTGGTTTATTTCATGTTTCAGACTTGGAGTCTAAATTAGGCTCTCCTTGGTTGTACTTTAATTTCTGATGTAATTTTACTTTCCTTTATTCATTCTGGGTTGTAATAATTTGTAATAACTTATGGGGGTATATAGTGAAAAGGGGAGTGTCACTCATATATGCATGTGGGTAGACATCATGTTCTTAGGTGTTTATTCCTGCAATCTCATCCTGCTTTTCATCTATGCATATCATATAGAAATCTTGTCTATAGTTCTGCACTTATGCATTTCATATAGAAATCCTGCTTATAGTTCTTCACTTATGCATGTCATATAGAAATCCTGTCTATAGTTCTGCACTTATGCATTTCATATAGAAATCCTGCTTATATTCTTCACTTATGCATGTCATATAGAAATCCTGTCTATAGTTCTGCACTTATGCATTTCATATAGAAATTCTGCTTATAGTTTTGAACTTATGCATATATAGATACCATGCCTTTGAGGTTCTGCACTCATATAAATACCATGACTATAGGCTTCTCGCATTTCTATAAACCTTTTAAAATCAATCACGCCTAGAAAGCATGTCTATAAGGGTAATCAACTGAATCTGAATCAAGCCTAAAATCAACAATTTCGATATCATCATCTGCAGAGTTTATGTTTGCTTTCTTTAAAATTAGTATACTTCGCATTGCTAGATATCATGCCCATAGGTCTCACCTAGGCAAGCCATTAGGTAATTAATTAACTACACTAGTCTTTAATAATTACAACCAGCAGGCAGGCCTAATTTGGACTTCTTATCTGAAAATATGTGATAAATCAGCCACGCCTTAACGTTTAAGTTTAATTAAAGACCTAATCAGTATCTGAAAGACATGCGAAAACTATATGTTCTTTATGTTTTAAGGAGATTTGTTTGAGCCTTGTTTGTGCTTCCCCATACTTGTCATGTATGTTTTGAATGTCGCCTTAGACTTTTGTCCTTTTTAAACTCTAAAAGCCAATTTTCCCTCCCCTTTAGGACTAGTAGTCCCTAATACCTCCGGGGCTGATAGGATTGGGACGGGTAATAGCATGCAATAAGTAACGAGACCATTCCGCGGTTTAATACCTTAACGGGGTGGGTAAGGGTAGACATGGATATGATGGCCACGCGATAACACCACGTGTATAAATGGTTACCGGGTGTTGTGTAGGGTGATCCGTATTATTTATAAACCTAGGAACCCCCTCCCTCTTTACTTGTTTACTTCCTTTTTCCAGAATTTTAAAGCTATTTAGTTTTCGGTTTCTTTAACTTTTTCTTTTACTTCAATCACTTGCACTTATTATGCAAAATCTCTCTTTTAGTTGTCTGATTTTCAGTACTGTTTATCCCCAAACTTCCGCCTCTTTCACTTTTTTTCGAATTACTTGCATCAGTTATTTGACCCCTTCTCCTTTACTTGTGTATCTTTCTTTAATTATAAAACAACCTTCTTCCAAATTTCAGCACTCTTTAAACCTCTTGTACTTCTTTTATTTGCAACCGTTATGTGAAAGTTACCTAGTCTTTACAATGCTTGCTTGATTACTAGTTGTTTATATTTAAAGTCACAATTGTAGCATGACCGGGAACCACACTAGTGGATCTTGAGGGGTGCCTAACACCTTCCCCTCGAGATAATTTCAAGCCCTTACCCAACCTCTGGTTTCTAAATCAAATTCATTTTAGTGTCCTAATGAACTTAATCATTAGGTGGCGACTCTTCTAAATTGCAAACCCAATTCCCAAAAGGAAAAGAGTTATCCGCCCAAATGTCATAAACCCGATCTCGCGAGAAAAAGGGGGCATCGACAATCGTAAGCTTGAGTTTAGAATAGGTTATAGAACATTAAGTCTATAAAAAAATTTGCTTCTTTTATTTCTCTTTTTCATGAGAGCAGCCATTAAGGTAATAAAAAATAAAAGAAAAAAGAAAAAAGAAAATGAGAATGTTAGTTTGTTTACTTTATTCCCGATCTTCCCGAAGTACGCAAAGATCTGATTCATGCGGTGTCATGATACGTAGGCAACCTACATAGGGTTCGATCAAATCATTTTTATTTTATTAAAAGAAAAAGGAAAAAAGAAGGAAACAAAAAAAAAAGAAAAAAAGAAAAAAAGAGGTGAAATTATGGGATGTGAGAAATGAGAGGAAAGAAAAGAGTGATAACTAGAAGAAAAAAGAGGAAGGACAATGAGCAAGCCAAGAAGTGCCAGAAAAGAAAGAAAAGAAAAGATTGAAATAAACAAATTGGGATGATGCCAAGTGACCTTGTGACCCTCGAAGTCATTTTTGAATTGTTAATTGTTGCTAGGTGCATTGCACACAATGTGATATTTGCAATTGTTAAATGTCCCAACGCTAACGTGATTACCTCATTTTGTTCCTTTTTGTTATCTCCATTGAGCAGAAGGGTGGTTGGTTTGTGGTTCTTAAGGTAACTCATCCATACAACACAAGGTCAAAGAGCAAGGTAGCCATGACTAGCAAAGATATGGACACAAGAGTTGTTGACCCGTCGAGGGAGTTTGTGGAGTCGGAGTCTAAATTGAAAGGGGAGGTCCAAATGTTGAAACGGCAGATGGCAGAAAAGTATCAGTCTTGGATCAGGGGGCATCCTCCACCTTCATGCCCCACTAACTACACTGAAAAACCTGCAACTATCCCACCACTATCACCAATCCAGATTCCTAGTGCTGCTGATATCTCCCCAGAACCTTTTCACACTCTACCCGCCAAAACCACCTCATATCCTGCTCCTTTGGCCACTCATGCTCTTGTAGCTCCTCCTCCAGCTACTTTTCCTCGATCCTCTAACGAGACTGTGCTCAAAGTCCCCGATGCCCAACATTATGCTCCAGAACCAACTTTTAAAGTCTCGGATCCATATTCTCACACTCCTCATTTTGAGCCTCCCGGTGAAACTGAAAAGCCTGCTAAGTCAGTGGAGCAAGATGAGATATCCAGGAAGGTGAAAATCTTAGAGCGGTCTTTAAGAAACATGCAAGGGATAGGGAGCCAGATGAGTGTGGCATACAAAGAGTTGTGCTTGTTTCCTGATGTCCAACTGCCTGCTGGGTTTAAGATGCCAAAGTTTGATTTGTATGACGATCACAGAGATCCCGTGGCCCATTTGAGAGGTTACTACAGTAAGATGAGAGGCCCGGTGGGAAAGACAAATTATTGATGGCGTATTTCAGTTAGAGTCTGAGTGGGGCGGCTCTGGAGTGGTATACCCGCCAAGATGCTAACAGGTGGTACACGTGGGACGATATGGCTCAGGCCTTTGCCAGGCACTTTCAGTACAATATAGAAATTGTCCCGGATCGCATATCCCTCGCCAAGATGGAAAAGAAGCCTAATGAAAGCTTTAGGGAATACGAGCTCAGATGGAGAGAGCAAGCTGCCAGAGTCAATCCCCCGATGGAAGAAAAAGAGATGGTCGAGTACATTCTTCAAGCTCAAAAGCCAACTTACTTTGGGCATTTGATCACGGTTGTGGGTAGGCCTTTTAATGATGTGGTAAAAATGGGAGAAATGGTAGAAGATGGGCTGAAGTCTAGCAAGATCATGAGTTATTCTGCTTTAAAATCCACAACACAAGCAATTCAGAACGACACAGGAAGCTTGCTGGGTCAGAAGGAACATGATGATGTTGCCATGGTTGTCTCAGGATCACGACATGGTCCAACGAATCCGCCTCACCAATATACTCAGCCTCAACCCCAACCCCAAACCTATCCCCGAGCTCCACATCATCCACCTCAGTACTATCCTCCGAACAATGTCCGGTCATCTGTCCAACCACCGAGTCGCTCCTTATGGCGAGCGCCAGCACCGCATAATGCACTCTTGCCTTCACAACATTTTTGAGCACCCAACAACCTTAGAAAATAGGGGCAGGGAGGGGAACAAAGGCAAAGAAATAGTTTCACGCCAATCGGGGAGTCCTACACAAGCTTGTTTGAAAAGTTAAAGCATTCTGGCCTGATTGAGCCACTCCTCGGCTATACTCTAGACCCATATGCAAAAGGTTTTGATCCTACTGTACGATGCATGTACCACTCTAACGTCCAAGGTCATAGCATTGAAGATTGTCGTGCTTTGAAAAGGGAAATAGAAAGAATGATTCAAGAAGGGGTAATTGTGATTAAGGACAGTGACAGGGAGCATGCGAATCCTCTTGGGAACTTGCTGACTGTAGCTAATGATATTGAAGTTGGTATTGGTCTTGGCAATATTGATGTGGAACTCAGTGGCTAAGACGCTCCTCTCTTGGCTAGCTGGGGAGGAGTCTTGGTGGTTTATTTTGTTGTCATTTCTGTTGTCTGGGTTATTTTCAGGGTTGTAATCCGGATATTGTCTTGTGATTCAAACCCTTCTATCCTTTTATTTTGCCTAGTTTTTTTTTTCGTAGTAACTCGTTTAGTGTTGTCTAGGTTTGTTCCAGGGTTGTAACCCCAGTTTATTTTACTTCTTTTGTTGTTCAAACCCTTTCACCGGCTATCTAATGCAATTTCCTGTTTTCTATTATTTCTAGTCATTTTTTGTTTAGTTCTCTTTTTCTTTTATAGTTCTTTTCCTGCTGACTCTAGTGACATGACATGCATGCATAATTCTAAGCATGGTCTTAAAAGTTAGTCTAATCATGAAGCAATGAAACAATTTTGAAGATGATAGGGACACTTGAGGGAAATTAGTAAAGGCATTTTGAGATCACTTAAAGCCCGAATTGTGTGAAACTGGGGCAGATAGAACATAAAGAAGATACTTCGAAAGATGGTGCAAGGTTCTAAGCAATTGCATGAAAAGTTTCCTTTTGCTTTACTGGGTTATCGCAATACTGTTCGCACTTCAGTAGGTGCAACTCCTTACTTGTTGTTATATGGTACTGAAGCAGTGATACCGGCGGAGGTTGAGATTCCATCCCTTCGAGTTGTCGCTGAAGCAGAGATTGATGATGATGAGTGGGTCAAAACCTGGTTGGAGCAATTAATTCTGATTGATGAGAAAAGACTGGCGGCAGTATGTCATGGCCAGTTGTATCAAAAGAGAATGGCAAGGGCATACAACAAGAAGGTGCATCCCCGGAAATTTGAAGTGGGTCAGCTAGTACTGAAACGCGTCCTTCCACATCAAGCTGAAGCAAAAGGCAAGTTTGCCCCGAATTGGCAGGGGCCGTTCATAGTAACGAGAGTGTTGTCCAATGGTGCTTTGTATTTAGCAGATGTAGAGGGAAAATGTGTGGATATGGCTATCATTTCTGATGCAGTCAAGAGATATTATGTATGATTTCTTTGGTTTGTTTAAATTGTGTCCATTTGTACTTGGCATGTTTTGAAGATTGAAATGACGACGACATTTTATTCTGCTATCTAAACACTTTATCCATTGTTACCCCTTAGAGCCTTAATTGCTTTCTTTCATACCCCTCTTTTGGAATCAGTAGCAAAGATCAGAAACACAGATACAGAAGATAAAGAGAGAGAGAGAGAGAAAATGAAAAAGAGAGAAGAGACAAAGAGAATAAAGAGAAAAATGAAAAAAAAAGAGAGAAGAAAAAAAAAGAAAAAGAAAAAGAGAGAAAGAAAAGAAAAGAGAGAGAAAGAAGAAAAGGAAAAGAGAAAAGTACAAAAAAACAAAGCAAATCCTATGTCATGAACTACGCTCGACCTGATTCCTTTTAAGGATACGTAGGCAGCCTCACGGTTCGGTCCGATCAAAATAAAAAGTCCCCAAGCAAAGAAACTGGGGCAGAAGTTGTGGTTGTTGTAAGAGATCTGATTTCAAAAGTTATAATTTTGAGCCCTTTTAAGCTGTTTTTGAGCCTTTATGATACCCTTTCTTTCTAATCCTATCCAAAAGCCTACATTATGGTCCAAAGAAAGACCTTCCGATCAATATTTGAGTAGTGCCAAGTCAAGCAAGTTAGAGGTATGATTCACATCAGGGGAAACACTCCATTCTACACAAGGAAAATAAAAATGAGAGAGTCTTATCGGTAAAAACCTTCACAGGCACTATAAGGCGACGGTAAGTTGAGAGAAAGAACAAAATGAGAGAGGCTTGATGGTGGAAACCCTTCGGGCACTACAAGTCGAATAAGGACCGTGAATAAGATGGGATAATCAGAGCATTGAAGCCCAGTTTCATGGCAAAGAGGTACAACAAGAGTTGAACATTAGATTTGCTTGACATATTAGGCCACTTAATCCAAAAGTGCATGTCATGGTCATTAGAGTTGGTATCCACATCTGATAAGTTTCTACTTTGTAATTTTCTTGTTAGGTATCATCTCTTTCCATTGTCCTTTACTCTGTTCCTTTTGTTTTGTTTACTTCCTCTTCATGAGTCTGTTTGGTCGGAACAAGTGAGAAATGACATCAAAATTTGCTACCAGCTTTCCAATTGCACAAAAAGGAATCTGGCTAGCACATCAAAGTGGCACGCGTCAGGAAATAATAACAAGCTCACTGAGTTGGTAACAATCAACGTGTTTTGGGATTCATGTGAAGTACAAAGGTTCGGTAAATGTCAATTCATGAGCAAAATGCAACAGATAGAGGATGTTGGGTTTGAATGGATCAGAGGTATTTTCTGTGATAAGGGTGACAGAGAAAGTGGTTAGTCAATAAACAAGCAAGGTCTTTCGAGTTGAAATCAAAGTTATCGTGGGAATTGAAGGAGCAATCGCCCTCAAAGTCAAGGCCACAAATCAACCACCATGTTTAAACTCACAAGTTTCTTTGTCTGAAATAAGGATGAAAGCTATGTTCATATCAAAGCTTGGAAGCTTGAATTTTTTAGGTGTAATGCCCCAATTCTTCTTTTGCAAAGGCTATTGAGAAGATCACACATCACCCCTAGGAGAAACACTTCTTAGTCTGGGTTTTCAAGTTATATTTTGTTGTAGGATACGCACTTCCTAAATTGAAATTTTTGCCCTTAGGAGACGCACTTCCTACTTTGGATCATATGAGTTTTAGTCACAGAAGTTTTCACCCTTAGGAGACGCACTTCCTATTCTTGGTCATTTATATTCACCCCTAGGAGACGCACGTCCTAGTTGGAGTCATTGAAATTTTACCCGTTATGAGGCGCTTCCTAGTAGGGGTCTTTCAGATTATACTTGTTAGAAGACACACTTCCTAGTTTTGGTCATTTAAATTCATTTCTAGGAGACGCACTTCCTAGTTTGGTTCATTCAAGTTTCACCCCTAGGAGACACACTTCCTAGTCTGGGTTTTTCAGGTTATATTTTTGTTTTAGGAGACGCACTTCCTAAATTGAGAGTTCATTCATGGGAGACGCACTTCCTAGTTTGAGTCATTGAAGTTTCGCCCCTAGGAGATGCACTTCCTAGTCTGGGTCTTTCAAGTTATATTTCATTTTAGGAGATGCACTTCCTAAATTTAGATTTTATCTCTAGGAGACGCACTTCCTAGTTTGGGTCATTTAAGTTCATTCATAGGAGACGAACTTCCTAGCTTGAGTCATTGAAGTTTCACCCCTAGGATATGCACTTCCTAGTCTGGGTCTTTCAGGTTATATTTTTGCTTTAGGAGACGCACTTCCTGAATGGATAGTTCATTCCTAGGAGACGCACTTCCTAGTTTGGAGTCACTGAAGTTTCACCCTTAGGAGACGCACTTCCTAGTCTGGATCTTTCAGGATACACTTTCAGGAGACGCACTTCCTAAATTGAGATTTCACCCCTAGGAGACGCACTTTCTAGTTTGTGTCATTTAAGTTCGGCCCTAAGAAACTCACTTCCTAGTTTGGTTCATTCAAGTTTCACCCACAGGAGACACACTGCCTAGTCCGGGTCTTTCAAGATGATATGTTCTTTTAGGAGACGCACTTCCGAAATTGAGATTTCATCCCTAGGAGACGCACTTCCCAGTTTGGGTCATTTAGGTTTTATTTTTAGCAGACGCATTTGCTAGTCAAAGTTTCATGGTTTTACTCATAAGAGACGCACTTCCTAGTCTAGTCTTTAGTTTACTCTCATCATTGCATCAATTGTATAAGTGGTTTAAAATTTCGCTAACAACTCACAAATCTTCCTAGTGCAAACTGGGGCAGAAAAATTTTCTTCGTTTTATTTGTTTTGATTGCAGGCACCCACATGAAAAACAAGGGAACATAGAAAGTTCAGCAATCAGGCGCCCACCTGGAGAACAAGGGAAGACAGTTCAAGTTTCAAGGGAAAGCAGTTTCGAAGGAAGACAGTTCAAGTTCAGCAATCAGGCGCCCACCTGGAGAACAAGGGAAGATAGTTCAAGTTTCAAGGGAAAGCAGTTTCGAAGGAAGACAGTTCAAGTTCAGCAATCAGGCGCCCACCTGGAGAACAAGGGAAGACAGTTCAAGTTTCAAGGGAAAGTAGTTTCGAAAGAAGACAGTTCAAGTTCGGCAATCAGGCGCCCACCTGGAAAATAAGGGAAGTCGTTTCAGAATTCAATTCAAGTTAGAAGTAGCAAAAGCTCGCGGCAAAAAGGCGAGTCAACAGTCCGAGATGATCAACGAAAGTAATCTTAGTCCAGAATAAAAAAGAAAAAACAAAAAAAAAGAAAAGAAAAGGGAAGTGAATCCAAAATACAGAAGCTGAGACAAGAGGTGGATTGCTCAAGACATGACTGAAGTCACAAGCATGGTGTGTCCGATTTTGATCCGAAAAGCTGAAGAAGAATGAACTAGCACCTGCAGCTAGCAAGCATCAAGGTTCAAATCTAAAGTCTGCATGAAGGACCATTCAAGACTCAAAATCAAGCTTCAGAAGACTTATAGATAGGAATCTTGTAACTCATAGTTGACAGGCTTAGTTTCCTTTTCTTTTCTTGTTTTGATTTTGATGTAGTAATAGGACCGCGGAC